TTGCCTTTATATGCCTTAACTTGCTGTTAGATTTAGTCTGCTTTTCTTTTGGTCATCTAAACAAGCACGAGGACGAAGAGTGTTTCGTTCTATGTTTTTTTGCTTATAGGTGTAGAAAAACAGAACAACAACCGATTCGTCGTTCGAAGCGTTTGTCTCGTAGGGATAAATTTGGAGATAAATTGTCAAGTTCAGAAACATCTGAAGTTGAAGGTGAAAATGATGATGAACAACCATTAATTGTGAGTGACGAATAACTGTGCTGAAGTGAATTTCTAGAATACGAATGACTTACATGATGCTTGGTGTGTTCCCATGTCGTTAGCATCGCTTCATTCCGGACGATTAGTTGCGCGATTAGCAATAAAAGCGTTAATTAATCGTAATTTTGACTATAATTGTCTATAAATTGCGATATATCGGCGATTTTTAATAACTTATGATTAATCGGTTTGCATGAAAAATCGCCGATATATCGCAATTCTTAAAAACATCGCAAATTAATTATGATTAATTAGAGATCCTGGTTCCCTATTCGCGTTTAAAATTTTACTGTATCCCTTCTAGTTCCCGAGCAAATCGTTACAGAAAATGACACTTTTTCGATCTAGAAAGGCAAGACACAGTTTATTACTAGAGTGTGGTCTGGTTTCGTACCGCATTAAAAACTCGCCGATTTATTGCTATTAATCGGTAAAATCGTCGATTTATTGCCGATTTTGACTACATGGATTGTATCATTTTCCACTTTGGAACTCTATAGGTTTATTATCTGAAAAACCTCAAATTTTAAACGGTTGAGTTTGTTTAAGGCCAAAAATTTTAAAACTATTGTGATAATAACAGCAATTTTCCTCTAAACAAAATATCATATAGACTTTTTTAGTAATCAATCGTCTTTGTTTGATGATACCTCTTTTATTTCTCGAACGATACAGGTCAGATATTGAGTGAGCGTATTTGGTAATACCCGGGACGCCGCGAAGTACAAGAAGCAGGGAGGATGTCCTCCAATTTCGAATTAAATCGAAAAATTTCAAAAATGAGAGTAAATATTGTCTAATAATACTCAAGTTTTGACAGACAAAAGGTTTTAGTTGCATAAAACTTCATGCTCTCAAGTTTCTGGTATAGTTTCTGCAACAAAACTAAACATATTTTCCATTTTTCGAACGATTTCCTATTCTAACTTGCAGACAGTTAAGTGTGAAAAACACCTAAAACCTCTTGTGGCTTTTTCGAATACGCTTTCACGGTTTTAGTTGTTTCCATTGAGCCGCAGTTTATGTTTGAGACATAAACGTCTTTAAATTTAAGAGTAAAACGTACTGATTCTTCGTCATGACCTGAGAAGTTGATTAAAAACCTGCCTCTCACACTATGACTTTGAGAGTAAACTTAACGGACAAAGACGTTTTGTTACGAAGAGTCAAGCATTTATGTCGCGGGATCTGGGAGCCAAGTTAGTGAAAGAGAGCAAGAAGAATGCAATGCTTTCAAAATGCAAGTCGTCGCAGACTTTCTTGAAAACGAAATAAAAAGAAAATGTGTTGGTGTTTACTCTGTATCACTGTATCACTCAGCGTAGGGTTGGTTGCATGATCTTAGAATTTTCTCTCTCTATATAGGCGTATGCCTAGAAAACAATTTATAAGCGTAGAATGAATGATCGTAGCTTTTGCCCATAGATACATCGTTCGCTTCTGATGGATGTCTTTGATGTTTTCTTTTCTAGCAATTATATGAAATGGCCCCAATAATAGTTCGTCGTAAAAAAATTTATAAAGAACGACAAGTGGCACACGATAAAATTTCAAAACTTTTTTCAAATGTTGACAATGAGCGAGCAGAAGATTGTCAAAAGTATATTTTCTTTTCTTTCGTCTATATAAAATAAATTCAATTCATTGTGTTATTTTTAGCAAATCCTATGATTATTCACAAATGGAATTGTTTTATGAAAACGTTTTAAAATTAACGCCAGATAGATTAATCTACATGTACATACATCCAAACCCAAATTTAATAGCTGTCATTGGTTGTGATAGAACTGGAGCATCAGGACTTCTTGTTAAAGTAAATTCTTAATTAGTGGCATGTAACGATCGTGTCTTCCCAGATCAAAGAATCCTATAATAGGATCATGTGGACCCTATGAAATCATATAGGATCTTATAGGCAACACGTCTGCCATCTTAAAACAAGAAATGACGTAGAATTCCTATTATGGGCCTATTATAGGATCATATGCGATCCAACAAAAGGAACTTATAAGATCATATAAGAACCGATATAATCTTATTATAGGATTTGGTAGAATTTTACATGATCAGCTAGGTTATGACATGGTTTATCCTACTAACCTCCAGTGTCCCCGGGCTTTTCCGTCGAAACACGCATAGACATAGGTTATCGCTGATGCTGATTACGAATATCATGGTCGGAGCGGCATACGGATCATTGGAGATCTGATTTTCTAGAAAATCAGTTTTTCAGAAACTCTAAAAAATAACTAAAACTTTTCTTAATGAGACATGATTGTAGCCCGCACATTTCTGATTAAATTGCAACATCTAACACCTCTGCACGACCTTTCTTTGCAAAGTTATACAATTTACAAGAAAAGCCCTAAATGTTCATTGTCAGCTCAAAGCTATAGAAATAAGATGAAATTAATTTAGGGCTTTTCTTGTAAATTGTATAACTTTGTAAAGAAAAGTCGTGCAGAGGTGTGAGACGTCTCATTTTAACCAGAAATGTGCGGGCTACAATTTTGGCACATTAAGAAAAGTTTTAATTATTTTATAGAGTTTCTGAAAAACTGATTTTCCCCAAAAAAAACCGGATCTCAAGAGACCTATAGGCAACGGCCATGGTCATATTCGGAATCAGCATAGTCGATAACCTATAATCGACTATGTCTCATTGAAAAAACGATTGACAGTTAAATCGGTTCCCCCGTAAAGGATACCCCTACAAAAAAATATTTTAGCGGCACTGGTTGTGCACGGATGTGCACGGTTTCCGCATAATTGTTTTTCTGGGCACCGATGCCAGAAAGAATGTAAAAATCTCGCACTAGTACCGAAGTTTGGTTTTCAATCACCATTTTGTTTTGCCAATTTTTGTCTATATTAACACTACAGGATACTTCTAATATTTCAAATGTCTTTCTGACTTCATCAATTCCTTCTCATAAGTAAAGTGCCGAGACAATACCGCATGGTTTTGGCATGACTGATCAGCACCGTATTCTAAACACAAAATTCAGTATAAACAACCAAAATAAAAACCTAATTAAATTGATTACCTAATTAAATTGATTAAATAAATTTCAGTGCAGCACTAATTTTTACCAGTGCGGCACTTTTTGGGCAGAAATATATCGGCACTCGCTGAGCACGGGTGCGCACCGGTGTTTGCCAGCGCCAGTGACCGATGGTATGCCATGCGCACTGAAACTTTTTTTATAGGGACGCCTAGACTTTCATGATAGATTATAATTGTCTAATTAACCGTTTCCGTTTATCTTTTTCTTCTAGTCTGATGAACTCGAATTATGGCATAAAACTAGCTATTTGCTTCATACAGATTATTGTGACTGTATTCGTTTTGATCGTTTAAATTCTAATTTATTTTGTACATCTTCACGTGATTGTACATTTCGAATGTATGATATTTTTAAAAATACAACTACTGAGGTAAACTTTTTTCCTATTTATATTCTTTGTTTTTATTTATTTCCAAATTTCATCTATTTTTGTAGGTTCTTCGCATGCCTGAAGATAATAACATAACCTTTTTTGATTATACATTAGATAATACTTATCTCGCTATATTACGACATGGCGATGCAATCTTAATAGATCGTAGAGCAAAGTAAGATAGCGAGTATGCTATTATGCAGGATGTGCACTGCTTAGCAACAGAAGTAAACAACTCTAAAATGATGATAAAAATGTGTTCTGAAAACAGATAATTAAAATACAATAAACGTTTTTTGATAAAATGTTTATTATGTTTAATGTTTAGTTATTTATTTGTCAAATGCTAACAAATAAATCTGTTTTCTTTCTCTTTAGCCCCGTTGTTGTTAATCGTTATAATTTATCAAAATATCATTTACGTACAATACATGTCAATCCTACTCAGCCAAATGAATTCTGCGTTGCTGGAGGAATGGAAAAGTAAGAGAATAGTTCTTAAAATAAAATTATTTCCTTAGTGTTAGAATTAGAGATGTGCATGACCAAGTTCTTTCACAGTCATGGCAATTTTTGAAAATAAATAAAAAAGAAATGATTATTACACCTTAAATTGGTGGAGAACTTCAATAAAAAACATTTTACCAGGCCAAAATGAATAAAGAACTTTGTCCGTTATCGTTACTACTTCAAAAATAAATTTTTATTCACTTGTTCGCTCTAAATCTTAATAATATTCCTACTTCAACTTCATGTGACCTCGACAGTCATGCATAAATGAAATATATTTTTCATGTTTCAGATTTATTAAAGTATTTGATTTAAGACAATTAGTAGAACGTACAACATCACCGTATATCTATCGTTTATCAACAAACTATGGACCACATGCAGCGTATTACAGTCACTCTGGCACACATATCATGGCGACAATGTCACATCATCATTTAGCGTATGTTAAAATCCTAACTAGATTTTTGTTCAATCTCCAATTCGATATTGAAAGCGCTGCAAGTATTTAATTGACTCGATTTGGCTATTCGATTATTGAAGTGCTAAAACGGACTATTATTGTAGAGAATTCATCATGCTACGCACAATATCAGTTCGCTGCGAACACAAATATAGTAGTCACATTTGGAGTTCGCGGCAAATTATGTTCTATATGTATGCACCAGACACATGTACAAGGTTATTCGCATGCGGCAAGAGGGGAGTTGAGAGTAAGCTCGAAAGGTAATTGCACGGCACCCTAATTTCATAAGATACCTAGCGAAACAAAAAAGTTCCAAAAAAATGAGTTCGCAGCGAACTGAAATTGTGCACGACCTCGAATTCATGTTCTGTTTTGAGAAAAAGATGCAGTTCCTCGTTAGTTACACTTTCTAAAAGAGAATCAAAAGTCAGGTGGGGTTGTTGAAATGTGGAACTTCAATGTCGTTTCTTCGAGCAAAGCAGTCACACTGATTCTTCTTTAGAAAACAAGTTTTAATTTACTATCCATTAACAAATAAACAATATATTCGTCATTTACTGATAACTCGAAAACAAAAAGTGACACAGTTTACGATCCATCAGAAGCCCCGGATCGGTATCTAGGTGTATTCTTGTAGCCTCCAGTCGTTTTTGCAGAGATCTAAACACCATTACCTCAAATGCTCTCAAAACAGAGACCTGTCCAATGTTACTTATAATGCTTTGAGCAGTAGCATCATCAATCTGTGTATATTACAACCTCATCAAAACTTCACTCAAGATTTTACCGCAGATACCTGACACAGTATCTCATTTTTCTTTCTCAATACGAGAGAAATGCTGAAAGTTCAACGTAAATACCTCGAGTTTTGATTTTGAAGATCCTATGAATTCTTTATGATATGAAGTTTTACAGGTTTTGTGAAAATAGTCAAAAGTGGTGAAAGTATGTGTATTGGATGTAACATGTATTTTCACTATGTTTTCAAGCTTTTTTATGGAAAAAACATCGCCACAAGACTCAGAATGGTTGATAAATTTTGTTTCCATATATTTCTGAAGCTGCAAAAATTCAATTTCATTTCGAAGAGAGTACTCTGAGAGATGTATCATGAAAGAGCACGGTAAATTTGTAGCTCAAACTTTTCAGCCACGCTCTGGTTTTCCAATGATCTTCGAGAAAAGCTTGTTCAAAAACGCATTTTGAAGCTAGCTGGAGTTTCAACATCTCTTTTGAGTAACAAGAGTTTGAACTGTATGTCACTTTTTGTTTTCGAATTATTCAAAACATGGCCGAATCTTTCCATAATCAATAACAGTGTCGCTGTGTACTCATACCTTGTAATTTTGTGAAATTCCTATGTTACCTATATGTTTTATGGTTCCTTTTGAGATCATTTGCATATTCGACATTTTCTTCCTTCATCAACATCAGACATTCTTCCATCGCATGTTGTCTCTCTTATAAATTACAACAACAGTTCACTGACAAATTCTTGTGCCATACCAACTTCTCATGAGCAAATGTTTTTAATTGGTTCAACTAAACAAAGTCAGGTATATCATATTGCACTCTTCTCATTTGATCCTTCATTGACTGTTGTTCTCTCGTTCTTGCAGATTCAGATTAATGCTATCGATGTTGATTGTAACGTTTTATCATCGTTAAAAGGTGCCTATTTAAAATCATTATGTTCAATTAACATAGCTCATGCTACACAACCGATTGTGGTTGGTGAAAATTCTAGTGGCACAATTCATGTATTTACGAAAAAGATTGAACAGTTTTATTAAAATTGAACTGTTGTGTTTGTACATGATTTTTTATTGCAATTGATTGATATTTTATAATCAAGAATAGTTATAGTTTTTGATCATTTTATTTGCGTTTTGTGTATCTGCGTTGTGTACTTGCGTTTTGTGTATAAATACTCGAAGACATAAGAAAAACAAATAACTGGAAACTGCGATAGATTCTCGTACAAAAACGGAATTCACCTACTTCAAATATCTCATGAGTAAAATTTCTGTATCAGAAACTTATGGGTATGCAATTCGTATGGAGCGATATGCTTTTGTTTTACTTTTTGTGTATTTTCACAAAGCATTTCTTTAAATACCATTGAAGCATCTTCATCAGTCATTTTTAAATTCATTTTTGTTAAAAATGTTTTAAATTCTATGATCAGTTTTCCATCTAGATTTCAACCACTGGTGCCAAAGACAACTTGGAATTTCGTTCTAATCGGTATTAAACCTTCATCGCGCTTATCATTTGGGTTGTTAAATCTGGTTAGAATGAGTCAGTATGATCAAAATGTTGGTATATGGTTACATTTCCTGTTGATACACGAGCTTCGCTGTGAACAGTTGCATTAGAATAAAGTGAACTAAATAAATCAAAATGTAACTGGTTACCAGCTATTAAATTTCTTTGGGGTTGAATGCAAGCGATTTTATAAGACTATACTTCAGTCGAAACCTACTTTTAAAGATAAAAAAGTAAATGATCTAAATCACACTTCTATGCGTCTTCGCCTTTTCCTGTTAAAATACAATTGTTAATAGTGCAGAACCTCAGACTTAAAGTAATTCGGTTATGTAAAAGAAATCTTTCACCACTTCGGTCAGATATCCAAACCTAGTAGTAAATTATGAATAAATTTTAAAACCCATAAAGATACTTAAACTATGTTAACTACGTGCTTAATTGCGATTAAGAAATGATGCGGTCACACTACAAAACTGTTAATCATGAATTTGTGATATATTTTAATCCCGATTAAGGACGTAATTCAACCGTAGTGTTAGTAAGATTGTCACGTAGTCTTACAAAAAAGAGTATGTATCTTCAGCCCCTCTCACGACAGCAAAGAAAGAATAATGAAAATTTTTTCTAGTTATCTACGTCAAATTATTTACCGAACTTACGAGGGAAGGCCATCAACTATCCAATCGCTTTTGAGACGAAACCTATTGGATTATAGGTTATCGACTATACTGATTCCGAATATGACCATGGCAGCTGCTGCCCACAGAGCTCCGGAGATCCGATTTTTGGAAAACCAGTTTTTCAGACACTCTAAAACATAACCAAAATCTTTCTTAATGAGGCCTGATTGTAGCCTGCACATTTCTGATTAAAATGAGACATCTCTCAGCTCGACATGAGTTTTCTTTGCAAAGTTATAGGATTTACAAGAAAAACCCTAAATTTTTTCCTTATTTCTATAGCTTTGAGCATACAATGAACATTTAGGGCTTTTCTTGTAAATTCTATAACTTTTCAAAGAAAGGTCGTGTAGAGCTGGGAGGCGTCTCATTTTAATCAGAAATGTGCGGGCTACAATCAGGCCTCATTAAGAAAGATTTTGATTATTTTTCAGCGTTTCTGAAAACTGGTTTTCCAAAAATCGGATCTTCGGAGCTCTATGGGCAGCAGCTGCCATGGTCATATTCGGAATCAACATAGTCGATAACCTATAATCCACTAGGTTTCGTCTTAAAAGCGACTGGACAGTTGGTGGCCTTCGCTCGTTAGTGCACATTAGTTTTTTCATTTTTTTATTGTTTTTTAAACGTTACTATTATTTCAGTTATATCACTTCGGATATAAAAGATTTTTCATACATATAGAACATTTTTGCTTACTATTCGCTTTGCACTATCTATACATGGATACAGCGACATTACCGCGAACGACAATACCGCGAACGACAATGCCGCGAACGACAATGCCGCGAACGACAATACCGCGAACGACATTACCGCGAACGACATTACCGCGAACACAAAAAACGACATTACCTCGAATACAGAGAACGACATTACCGCGAAGACTTGTTTGTTGGAAAAGCCGAATAAGTGAGGCCCGTTTTGTATTTTCTACATCATGTTTTCAAACTTAACTGACGTTATGTGGTGACTAGTCATTATCTGATACAGCCACAGATATCTAGTTTCCCATTACGATAATATGTTTTATGTGAAAATACTTTTCGAACTCC